GCAGGGCGCCTCTTGTCCCTAGCTCCACATGTTAAATGTCAGTAGTGTCCCCCAGACAGATCGTTATGACAACCAGAAATGCTCCTCACATTTCCAAAAACCTTAGGGTGGTAACCTCAGGAGGGAACACAGCTCACCCCTAGCCATCCTCAGAACCACCGAGTGGAGAAGTCGGCAGGGGTTGGCGGGTGCGCCAGTGGAGTCCCAGGGCACGCTCCGTCCAGGCGGGGAATCCCGCAGTCAAGTCTGGACTGAGCAGTTTGGATTTGAAGAACCTTGTTTTCCCCAGAATCTAAGGCTCAGGGAAACACACTGGCATTGGGTGTGCCAGCATGGAGCTGTGGCTCTCCAATTGGCCAACGTGTGGGATGTTTTGGCCTTGTGCATCGCTTTCCCCTGCCAGTGAGGTGGTGCCTTCTCCAGTGGGTGATGGGCCACCTGGTACTTGGCTGATCTGCTCAGGTTGGGGCGTGTCAGGCAGCCCATGGCGGTGCGCCTTCCTTTAAGACTCATTCTCCAAGTCTCTATGTATCTTAGTGGTTAGGAGTTAAACACAGCAGCATATTCACAATAGCCAAAAGGTGGAGGCAACCTAAGTGTCCTTCCATGGGGGCAGGGACAAAAAAAAATGTGTTACATACATACAGTGGAATATTATTCAGCCTTAGAAAGGAAGGAAGTTCAGGCACATGGGACAACATGGATGAAACTTGAAGACATCATGCTAAGTGAAATAAGCCCATCACAAAAAGACATACTGTCTGATTCCACTCTTTAGAGAAGTCAAATTCAGAGAGACAGAAAGTGGAATGGTGGTTGCCAGGGGCTGGGGAGAGGGGGGATGGGGAGTTATTGTTGAATGGGGACAGAGTTTCAGTTTTGCAAGATGAAGAGAGTTCTAGAGATGGATGATGGTGATGCTGCCCAACAGTGTGAATGCACGTAATGCCACTGTACTGCAGTTAAAAATGGTGAAGGTGGTAGATTTTACGTTACGTGTATTTTAGCGCAATTAAAAATTTAAAAGCAAATAAAGAGGGAAGGTGCTGATGGCACGACTACGAATCAAGTGTGGGCTCTGCTGTTTACCAGGCTGTTGTGGATCTTGGCCAGGTTAACCTGTCTGAGTCTTAGTCTTCCCATCTGTGAAACGGGGATAATGATGTACTAGGGGTGGGGGGGAATTACGAGGGCCACTAACTCGTGTTTGTAAGCCACAGGGCACGCTGTCTGCACTCAGGAAGTGTGGCTGTTATAGTGCAGGTGGATTTCACTTATTCACTGCTCCGGAAAGCAATCTTTCCCCTCAGACACTCTCATAGAAGCATTTGGGGCGTTTAGCCTAATAGCAAGGTCATAAGGACACTAACAAAGCAGAATGACTGGGGACCCAGGACGGTGCGTGTATAAGCTTCCTGGGTCTTCCTGCCTGGGGGTCAGCTTGCTCTCCGCCCACAGTGAAGCATTCTCAACTGTACTTTAGGCAACTTCACTGTATCTAGACAAAGGCCTTCTTAACTGACCCTCCCTCCCAGAGGGACACTTCTCCGTAAGTGTAAAACCTCCAGTATTCCCCTGTAGACTCTTAGGGAGAGTTGATAATTGTTGACAGCAACAAGCATTCATTTTCTTTTGTTTTGATTAAACAATAATTTGATTGGAAAATGCTTCCTGGTGCAGTAATTAATGACCGGCTGGAGCTGCTAACGCTAGAGGTAAAGCAAAAGGCACTTAACCCAGCTAGCATTAGCTACCAGGAAATGTTAGACCTGGAGGGTAATCCCTGCTGGTACAAACTCTGAAATGGGGAGGGAGCAAAAGAGAAAAAAAAAAAAAAAAAACCTAAGCAATTTCTTCTTGCGCAATGAAAAGTTTAAAAATGGAGCGTCGTGTTGCCATAGACACAATTCCTGGCTCTGGGCTGTCCTCCATGCCTGCATCCAGCCGCACAGCAATTAGACACGGTTTTCAGCAGGGCAGCTGAGCCTCCCAAGTACCTATAATGAACAACTGCAGCTCCAGGCTCCCGCGGAAATCCTCAAGCCTTCACTTGTCACTATAATTTCCTTGGGAAGTGTTTCTAATTACATATTTCTTGCTGCCTGCTCCAGGTCAAGTCTTCTTGTATACAATATTCGAATTACATAAAACCACAAAACAGTGAGAGCGACCCTGGAGTGGTCCAAATTGCTATGTATTTGCTTTTAACTTAGTAGTTAAGCATTACTGGGTGTAATAGGGCATCGTTTGCATGAGCAAAAATAACGCTGAAGGAATGTGCCTCATTCTTTTTAAATCTCTGTAGAGGTCAGACCCATTTCAGCAAGACATTTATATAATAACAGAATTCCCAACTCCAGCACATGGACTGTTTAACTATTATAGCAGGGTCTTTGTCAAGAGGAACTTAATTCTTCTGTATTATCTCCTGGGACCTGCCATCTAGGGAACTTCTGGTAGTTTAGTTCCCTGGAGGTGGTCTGTTAGTTTAGGTAGTTCTCCAAGATGTAAGACAACCTTCACCCACTAATTCTTAGAGAAAACTGAAGTCAAATGAATCTCAATCCAGATGCTACTGTATGGATGTTAAATTTTCTTTGGAATTGAGTAAATTGGAGGATTCTTCAGCTCTTGAAGAAGAGGCAAAAATGGTTTTCCAAAAGGGTGGGTTGGCTAGGGTTGGGGGTTCCCCTCCTTACGGGGGAGGGGTCTAAGTCCACCACCCTCTCTACCTTGCCTTGCGTTACGCAAGATTGAGCACCTGCAGGACCCAGAGTTACTGACTACCTGATCGTCTTGGGGGGCCTGAGGAGTTGTGCTCAGCTGAGCCTCCAGGCAGTGCCCACTGGGGGAGGGCCGGTTCTGGCCCCGGCTTGCAGCTGATGCAAGAACATGTTCCGACCCCGTTCCCTAAGGAGTTTCAGCAGAAAGTGGCAGCCCTGCAAGAAACAGCATTTGCTCTAGGCTTGCTTCTGCCCACTGGCTCCTCCTCCCAGTCTCTAAATGTTGAGGCCTAGGGTTCATTCCGGGACCTCTTCTCTCTGTCTGCACTCAGTTCCTAAGTGATGTCATCCAATTACGAGGCCCTGAATCAATACCGTCTGTAGCAGATTGTGTTTTCCAGAGTTGGCCACAACAATATCTCCATCCCATATGCTCTTCTACAACGTGGTCTTCACACTCTTTCCATGGAGAGAAGGGATCTATATCCACCACCCTCCCCATCCCACCTTGAGTCTTGGCAAGCTCTAGCTCTCTGGTAGCCCAGAGGATGAGGTGGAAACGATGCTGCATGACTTCCAAGGCTAAGTTAGGAAAGACGGTGCAGCTTCCACCTTGTTCACTGGTACACTCACTTTTGGAGCCCTGAGCTGCCATGTAAGTAGTCCAGCTGCCCCAAGGAAACCCAGGCCACATGGAGAAGCCACTCTAAGTGTTCCAGCTGACAGCCCCTGCTGAGGTCCCAGTGAAGAGCCAGCTTCAACTGCCGGATTTGTGAGTGAAGACACTTCCTGGTGATTCCAGCCCCAGTCATCATGTTGCTTCGAACCCTTGAGTCTTCCAAGCTCAGACCCAAGATTTGTGGAGTAGAAACTAAACATTCCTGCTGTGCCCTGCCCTGAATTTCGAACCCACGAATTGGTGGGTAAATGAAATAGCTGTTTTAAGCTAAGTTTTGGGGTCATTTCTTATATAGCAGTACCATCTGCAACACCGTCTGTATGCCAATGACTCCCAAGTTTCTATCTCCAGCTTAGGGCCTCTCTCTGAGCTCTAGACTCGCGTATCCCACTGTTGATTTAGCTTTTTCACCTGGATGTCAAACAGGCTTCTCATAGAACATGCCCCAGCTGCAACTATTGACCTACCCTGCCCTGCAAAGCTGCCCTTCCCTCAGGTGTCCTCATCTCAATAAATGACACTGAAACCCAATTGCTCAGACTCAAAATCTAGACATAGTCAGTGACTCTTCTCTTTCTCTCCCAACTCCCATCCCATCCATCAGCAAATCCCATCAGCTCTACTTTCAAAACGTTTCCCAGATAGGATTACCCCTCACCTACTCTACTGGTATAACCCAAACCCAAACTGCATCTTCTCTGTCCTGGATTATTGCTATAGCCTCCTAACTGGTCTCCCTGCTTCCACTCCTGGCCTGTAGTCCTCACCTCCATCAAGTCTCCAGAAGGCACAGTAAACATCTCAAGATGTAAATCACAGCAGGAGCCTCGACTCCTCATTCACTCATCTGGTTGTTGACCAGGAATCTAGCTGGGGCTGTTGGTGAGAACACTCACACCCAGCCTCTCCATGTGGCCTGCACTTCCTCATAATGTGGTGGCTGGGTTCAGAGACCAAGTGTCCCAAGAGAGAGGAGAGCCAGCTAGGAGTGCATCTAGGATTTAGCCTTGGGCGTCATGCAGCAGCACTTCTGCCACATCCTACTGGCTGAGGCAGTTAGGAAGGTCCACCCAAGTACAGAGGCAGGGAACACAGACTCTACCTTTCCATGAAGCCTGTTAGGGTCACACTCTAAGAGGAGCATATATGATGGGATATACATTGGTGCGGCCATCCTTGGGAAGTATAATCTGCCACACTGTTCAAGAAGATTTAACTACATAAGAAAGAAAACCGTACACCAAAAAATTCCATAAGCAAAATGTAAATGCAAAAGACAGTATAAAGAAATGCTAACTCTTTTTCCTAAGCCCCTCACTGAGCCCCTCCTCTAGGCTTTGTGGGTTGATTACAGGCATATTTGGCTGGTTAACACTTTATTTTTTATTTATTTTTAATTTTTTTGGCCACGCCACGCAGCTTGTGGGATCTTAGTTCCCTGACTAGGGATTGAACCTGGGCCCTCTGCAGTGAAAGCGTGGAGTCCTAACTACTGGACCATCAGGGAATTTCCTCCCCCACCCTTTTTTTTTTGTTTGTTAATACTGCGGAGGGAAACTGAGTCTAATGTGCCTGCTTCCTCTTCTTTCTGACGGCAGGAAGAAGAGAATGATGTCTCCTTCATCTCAACCTATAAGGCTCGCTTCAAATGATACTTTCTCCACAGACCCTCCCTGACTTCCACTGTGTGAACACTGAGTTTTTCCCCCATCTCACAAGGTACTTATACTTTCTTCCTTGTATTTCAGTCTCTTTTAAATATCTGTCTCTTTTAAATCTTACCTCTCTTTAATTCCTCCAGGGTATACTGAACTATAAATTTCTCAAGGGAGAGGGACTCTTTTTGGATTCATCACTGTTGCTTTTCTGCTCTGATCTTTGCACTGTTCACATGTGTTAATTATGCAATGTGTGCTGGTGGAATTCACGAAGAAGCAGTTGTGTCCAGTGTCTGTCTCATCTATATTTAATAATCCTGGAAGGTAGTAGGTGCTCAATTAAAACATGTTTTTGGCGAATGGATTGTGATCTACTAAATACAGGACATTTAAGGGGGAAGTAAGCATAAGAGCTGACCCCAGCCTTCAGTTACTACTTATACCTTGCCCAACAATGAAAAAGCTATCACAAGGCAGGCATGATTAGGATTTTTTGACAAAAGTCTGTGGGACTTAGAGAAAGCTTTTCTAAACCTATATAGCCAAAGTCAGAAAACATAAAGGAGAAGACTGATAGTTTCTACTGCATAAAAATGAAACACTTCTGTACATTTAAAAAAAATCATAAATACAAGTAAGGCAAATGGAAAGCCAGGAAAAATTTGTCAGTATATTAACAAAAGGTCACTATCTTTAATATTGGAAGAGGTCATCTATGTCAGTAAGAAAAAGACAAACATATTTTAGTTAGGGAAAGGATATAAATACTCAAAACAAAAAGAAAAATATAAGTGGTTAATAAACAGAAGAAAGAAAACCTTTAACCTCATTAGCAATCGTAGAAATTCATAGGAAAGCCACACTGAGGTAACATTTTTCTTTTATCAAATTGGCAAACTATTTTTGTTAAAATAATCTGCAATGTTGGCATGATTAGGAAGACTGAAAATTGATGTTTAAAATGGACATGCTTTGTAACCCAGCATTTCAACATCCCCAATTTATGCCAAAGAATTTATTGCTGAGGTTTGCCAAGATCTGTACACAAAGACACTTCATGAAGTACTGATTTTAATAGCAGAAAACTGGGATTAATGTCCAGCAATTGGAATTAAATTGGTTAAATAAATCATAGCACCACCCTGTGATACAACATTATATAGCCATTTCAAGTGCTGATATGAAATAATATTTAATGAAGTGGGAACATATTCATGTTACATAGTTAATTTAAAGTTTCAATTTATCAAGCAAATGTAGAATTGTTTTCTTTTTCATCATATATATTTCCATAATCAAAAACATGCATAGGGGGGCTTCCCTGGTGGCGCAGTGGTTGAGAGTCCGCCTGCTGATGCAGGGGACATGGGTTCGTGCCCCGGTCCAGGAAGATCCCACATGCCGCAGAGCGGCTGGGCCCGTGAGCCATGGCCGCTGAGCCTGCATGTCCGGAGCCTGTGCTCCGCAACGGGAGAGGCCACAACAGTGAGAGCCCTGCGTACCGCAAAACAAAACAAACAAAACAAAAAAACATGCATAGAAGAAGCCTAGAAAGATTTACATCAAAAATTTTAGGATTCTGTGATTTTACTTTTTCTCACCTCTCTTTTGTGTTTTTAAACTTTCTAGGGAATTCTCTGGTGGTCCAGTGGTTAGGACTCTGTGCTTCCATTGCAGGGGGCACGGGTTTGATCCCTGGTCGGGGAACTAAGATCCCGCAAGCAATGCAAGCTGTGTGGTGCGACCAGAAACAAAACAAAGCAAAACAACTTTATACAGTAGCATTCTTTTCTATCCAGGAAAAAAATACCATTATTTCTTTTAAGTGGTGTGGAAGTTGCCCCTGCAGTATGGGTGGGAATGCCAGTTCTGGCTCTTTCCTTTGAAAATATCTCTAGGTGCCATGGGTACACATTTACAAGAGCCCATTTTCTCCTGAGAATAGAGTGAGGGTGCGAGGAATTTTGGTGAATGTTTGTACTTGCAGCTTGTCCTGGAGTAAATATTTAAGACTGTGGGAATAGATGCTTTGCGCTCTGTTGAGCTGGCGAATGTATGTCAGGTTTCCTGTCCTTCTGTCTCCGTCATGTGCAAGGATCTGTGAGTGGAGGGTTTCATTAATCTGAATGCATCTGCAACCCCATCAGGAGCATTTCAGTTTCATGGACAAGTGGTTTGCTTTATTTGCTTTATTTGCTCCTGACGGAAATAAAGGGATGATACAATTAGTTCTGTCCGCTGCATGTGGGGGTGGAGCTTAAGTGAATTAAAACGTTCTGTGGCAAAGTAAACATGAAATGGGCGTGAGAAGTTGGATAGCAAGAGGAAAGCAAAGTTTACTGATTTTTCTCCTTTATTTGGCTCTCAGGTTTACGAGGATACACAAAAATCACACAAAGAAATCTGATGGGAATTGTCTCTAAAACTAAAAAATAACATCGCCACTGATTCAGCCTTCATGAATCCCTCTGACTCTATTTCCAAATATAAGCCCTATATAAAACCACCCCGTTTCACTTTGGGGACCACTAAAACAAGTGACTCTTATACGACAGAGAAAAAGAAGACGTTTTAATAATATGTGTGTTCAGATGCTTGCATCAAATGTTAAAAACCCATCAATTCACAATGCAGAATACCACCTGCCCACAGGTACAAACAAAAACGTTTCCTTTGCTCCAAGGGATCTTTTTTCCATTTTATTATTGCTAGTGTAAGAGATCAGGAAATGTCTTAAAATGCACAAGTGGTTTTGCTGACTTTTTATGTGGTTTCTTTTGAATTCAGGAAGCTTTGAATGACATAAATGAGCTCTGTACAGATGTTTCTAGAAGGTTTATGGCTCATCTCTGAGGTTCCCAGAGAGTGGTCAGCTCCACATCACACCTCATGGGACCCCATGGCCCATGACAATGAAATCAAAGGAGGCTGTAATTTTCTCTCAGCCTTCTTTGGGCTTGAAAACTGGAAACAGCACAGAAGACCATACATTCAATGACACATCAGATTGGCATCTTCCCTGTGCCAGCAGCCATGCCCACGAGCTATCATGGTGTGGTGTGTTACAGTCCTTGACCTGCTGGTGTTTATAGCTGGGGGTGAGAATGGAGCCAGGGAGGGGACATTAATTTAATAGGCTTCTGGGTGTTTCCATCCTTATTTCACTCTTGGACAAGCCGAAGAAGGAAATGGTTTTCAGCAACCTCTGTGATAAAAACTATTTGCTTATTCAACTGAGTTATCTCTAAAAAATGTTAAAGGACAGTTTAATAATCACTGTCCCCCAACTGTCTCTCTCTAAATATAGTTCACGTATATGAACCATGAATCTCTCTCTTCCTTTCCTCCACACTCTCCCCGATTTTCCCCCAAACTGGCCTACTTTAGCTCTTTTCTCCTCTCCTTTTTCTCATCTTTTTTCCGATGGATTTTTCCTTCTTCTTCTCTAGCAACTCTCTGTTCTTTCCCATGTAAATCAAACCAGCCTACCTTGGCCATTCTCTCTAACACCACACACAAAGGCCCAGAGTCTACCGGGAAAGGTAGAATTCTCTTAATGGGTGTGATAACTCCAAGTATTAGATACTATTAACTCACCAGACAGACAGATGAGAAACCCGGACATAGAGAGGGCAAGTAACTTAGCCAGGGCTGTGCAGCCCTCGAGTAGCAGAACCAGCCTTCAAAATTCCTCATTCCAAAGCTTGGGCTGTTTCCAAAGTACAAGCGGAGGTCCTCAGGGAGGGCTCTGGGTGGATGAGCAACAGAATTAAGTCATATTTACCGACAGCCACATCCTCTTAGATTCATGGAGCGGCTTCCATGCCCAGGACAGGAAATAGCCCTTCTCCCAGGAAGCCCCCCGTGGTGTGTGTCTCAGGCGACACACACATTGTGGAAAAAAAGCATTCTTGTTCTCAGAGGCCTGTATCTGCACAGCGCCAGGGGACCACTCACACTGTTTTCCCATGAATGGTGCCCCCTGGAGTTGTGTGAGGGCTCGGCCTTGGCTGCACAGTTGCTTTATTTCTCACGTTGCTTTTTTTTGGAGGTCTTGAGGGGAAGGACTGTGACATCTGCTCTTGGAATGTTTCCAGCCCTGCTGAGGTTCAAAGCCCGCATCTGTTCCAGGGTCTTTCACTTCTGGTTCCTCTCAGTTCTCACTGACACTTGGGGCGGGGACCGATAACCTAAGCTTAAAATTCACATTGTCTTAAGAACCTAGAAGAGGCAACTCATGTAGTTGGAAGTATTTGAAAGACTCTGAGAAAAAGGTATCCCAAAATGTATGTGTGAATGTACATTCTCTAGAAGTTACTGTCGTGTAAAATTCCGAAATAACCACTTTTAGGTGAGAATCTATGAATCATTTTGGTGAATGTGGGGTGGGGGAGGGGAAGAACAGGAAGCGAGGAGACTTCAAGGTTTCTGTAGAAATAATTCGAGGGTAGGGGCATCTTCTCTCCCTTCGTCCCCCTTAGGTAGGTTTCCCGACTTTGCTGGACCCATTAGAGTCTGAACTCCGCTTTCCTGTGGCCAAAGGGTCACGGCAGTGTCCTAGCGGAAACCCCTGGGAGCTGGTGACCAATGGGAAGACCAGCAACAGTGAGAAAAGCAGCCTTGATCTGTGGACCAAGGGCGGCTTTAAATGAGTGGAACTCCATGTACGTGGGGTTTGAATAAGCATGTGCATCCTAACCCATTTTTAGTACCTGTATTTGATCTGCTTTTAGCATGATGACCAATCAACAGACGGTCGGCTTACAAGAGCTAGAAGGGAAGGGAAGCTGAAGGAGGCTTCTCGAAAGCAATGCCACCTAAAACAAAACCACTTCTCGTGGCTGGCTTTCATCTGTCAGAAAGCTTTGCACGTGGGATCAGGGGTATTGAAGCAAGAAGAAGGGAGTTACGGCTTTTGTTCCTCTCTATTCTGAATCAATAAAAGTAACAAACCTTGTGTGATTACAATAAGAAATATATACTTGGTCTTCCTCACCCGTTCCTGACACAGAGCTCCTAAATCCCTTGGAATTCCCTCTATGACAGGGACTCTTTTATTTT